ATGCAGGGGCAAGAGCAGCTACACCTTCTGGTCCCTCCCTGGCAGATCAGACAGAGTCACTCCAAACCATTCGGCAGTGAGAGCCGGGTCTCATGTTGACCATGCAGGAGTGGGCAGAGTTCAGTTTATAATGACTTCCCTCTATTATACTTACAGCAAAGTCACTAGCAACTTACTGGCAGGTGTAAGGACTTTATTACTCAACCCAAAAGGTACAAGTGTGATGAGAAAACACCAGCTACCTGCTGTTAAAGAGGGTGTCCAGAGGGTGGTGACATCATGGTCTAAGTTGACATTCAGCCAGGACATACCAAAATGGCCATTTTGTTCACGGTCATCATCCAAACTGATCAATGCCTATATGGTTGTGGCCACATGGTTGTGACCAGCTGTTTTGGAACGCCTGCTGTACATTATCAAAGTCAAGGTTAAAGGAGAAGGGAGGTGTCTTCATCAAACCCTTCACCACTTGGAGAAATGCAACCTGAATGTAGCTCCTGTGAGAAACTCCTTTGGGGTATCCAGGGCACTTTGGGGTTCTGTCCGGGAGGCTGTGCTGTCCTCGGGTAGCGCCTGGCCCTAGACACTGTGCCACCGGGTACACTGCATTGCTCTCTTGCAAGGCCTCATCAGAAAAACTGGTCCGATGGGGTTGGCTTAGGTAGGGCCTCAAAATAAAAGCCAGTTTTGAAATGTGTACTATATTTAGCAGTCATTATTACTAAATTATCTTATACTATATGTGCTTGAAGACTTTCTTTTAGTTTTTTTTAAAAGACTAAATATACTTTAAGGGGGCAAATATCCTATAAGGGAAAAGTTGTTTTCAAATTGAGGAAGAAAAATTCACTTCTCCTCCCATGTTTTTCTTCTTTACTTCTCAGACTTCTGGTCAATAAATACGTAGATTCTCCTTCATCCCCCAAGTGATTCTCTGCAACACCCACTGGGTGTCCTACAATTGAACTCATTTACCTGGACACAGTGGCTGGTCCCACAGGTTCAGGGCTCAGTCTTAGAAGGCTGCTCCCCACCGCAAGACACCAATCCCGAGTCCAGGTCCTGAGCTTCTGAGGGATGGGCTATAAATAGGAGGTTCCCACGGCGCCCTCCTTGGGTTTGATTAGTTTGCTAGAGCGGCTCACAGAACTCAAGAACTCCGTTTACTTACTGCTCACCAGGTTGTTACGAGAGGATATGAGAAAGGATACAGATGAGCATCCTGGTAGAAGAGCTGTGCAGGGCCAGGTGAGTGGGAAGGGCACGGAGCCTCCACGGGCTCTCAGAACACACCCCTCTCTCCCGACCTTCACGTGTGCACCAACCCAGAAGGTCTCTGAACCCCACAATTTGGGGATTTTTAGGGAGGCTTCCTCACATAGGCATGATGGATCATTAACTCCAATCCAGCCGTTCTCCCCTCTCTGGACCATGGGGGGTGGGGTTGAAAATCCCAAGCTGCTAATCAGAGGTTGGTCTTTCTGGTGACCAGCCTCCATCCAGAAGCCCACCCAGAGTCACCTCCTCACAGCAACAAAAAGACACTCCTGTCACCAAGGAAATTCCAAGGGACTGAGGAGCTCAGTGCCAGGAACCAGGGGCAGAGACCAAAACATACTTTTTATTTCAGGCAAATCAGTGGGGTTAATCATCTATTAGGCAGGATGATAATGTAGTTGGTTAGATACCCCCCTTTGTCTTTTCATTGAGGGCACATGAAAGTGGTCTAAAAATTAACAAAAAAAAAGTGGTCTAAATAAACATGAGTGTCTGCTTCGATGTTTTAAACAAAGTTTTTAGGTATAATTTATGTCCCATAAAACCCACTTGTTTTACATGTGCAACTGTTGCTATAATTCCGTTTCAAGATGCAATTTTAACGCATGAACCTCAAGACGTGTTGAACAGAAAACTTGCCATCACTATGGGGCAGGATTTAGATCTTTAGGGGAGGAAGCAGGGAGCAGGGTGTGTTTCCCTCTCCTGATCCTCCCCCTCCTTCTCTCCTTTGCTCCGTTCTCTCCCTCCCACCTCTAGAAAGGGAATTCCTGGCGGGATCAAAAAGACAGACAGGAATACCATGGAAGAGATGTAGAGATTTCTTTCTGTGGAAGTGTCATCCCCAATGGTGGTGCTGCCCTGGGCATTATGGGGTCATCTTTATCTCGGCCCCATCCACGTCCTGGGAGATTTAAGGGCTCAGCTCCATAAACATCGATCGGGTACCTGTGCTCACTGCTGAGGGTATAGGAGATAAGGACTCAGCCCTGTCTCCATTTACGCGGCTTTAATTGAACCTCAGGTGACTAAGCACGAATCAGTACTGTTGGTCCAACTGACCACCATCTGACAGACCCAGTACCCGTATCTTGACCTTTGCCCCTGGGGAAATACAGGCAGTCCCCGTTTTATTGTACTTGGTTTTGATTGTGCTTCATAGATATTGCGCTCGTTACGAACTGAAGGCAAGACCCTCCACCAAAAGAAGACGGCAACTCGCTCCTTTGTGGCGGTGTGGAACGGAGCCCGCAGTGTCTCCCGGGTCCGCCTGTTCAGGTCCTCGCGTGTCCCCTGGTAATGGCAGGAAGGCTTCCCTGTGGACTGGCGTGGCTCTTTCCATACCTTCCTCGGCTCCCCGCTCCGAAGGCACCTCCTTGCCCATGGAGCTAAACTGTCTGCCCCTTCCCAAGGAAGACTCTTTAAGCTCCTCCCCCTTTTCAGCCTGCGACTCAGTGTATTGTACTAATTTATGATGCTTTGTATTCCCCGCTTCCACCATTGGACTGTCAGTTCTGTGAGGGCAGGAATTTGGGTCTATTTCCTTCTCTGTCCTAACCCTCGACCCTGGTTCTCAGTACACAGTCCGAACTCCAGGAATATTTGTGGAATGAATTCCTGAGCGTCTGTCTGCTCCTTATCTTATTCCCCAGTGCTGGGGCCCCGCCCTTCCACCCTGCTTTATCAAGACCTGGGACGCCGTCTCGATCCTATCTCACTCACCCTCAGGCATGGGCAGAGCCTCAGTCTGGAACGGGTTTCTGAAGCTTTGAGCTTGTAGCTCTGAGCACGGCCTGGTCCCAGTGGCCTTGCTCCTGGAACTGTCTCACGTAAGAACCTGTTTGCAGGACATGTTGTTGCCTGTTCTTCCCCTGCCTCAAACGGTTGCTGCCTGCCCCGCACTGGCGCGCCCCCCCCCCCCCAGGTAGTCTTAAGAACTGGCTTATCCCGGTCTGCCCCAGTTAATTAACCTTCTCTGTGTGACAGCGTTACTAGACTGGACAGAAGGCAGAACACCCATGACGCTATGTGAATTAAAACACCAGCCATTGGGAATGAATGGCCAAGGATGGGACATTTACCTCACACCCTGCTGGATGCTTGAATCCTGAATTGCTTTGAAAGTGGCTGAAAAAAGTTTAAACATTTTGAAATCATTACTGATTATCCCTGATCATCCCTGAAATTAGCTTCTTAAAAGTAATCTTTAAAGTTGTCCTTGTATAACCCGTAATATTTCTGGGCTAAATTTTCCTACTAAAATCTTGGGTAGTTCTAACTCCCTGTCCGATTCCAAGCCCCCAGCCAACATCAGAGTTTTCAATACTCTCATTAGCTTCTCATTGAAAAAAAAAGTTTTTTTTCTGCCCTTAAGTTGAGGTTGAAAATACTCTTGACGTTTCCTACTCCAAGACCCCTCAGGCTTTTAGGACACACGTATTAGCTTTCACGCCAGCTGAGTGGCCAGGAGAGGCCGAGACTTCAGGGAAGAAAGCGCACGGATGAGCCAGGCGAAGGCCGAATCAATGGGGTCCTGGAGGGGATGGCCAGTCACCAAGCTTCACCCGTGTCTTGGCGACTGACTTCTGTATGTGCTCGGAAACATTACTAACAGGCTTTACTTGTGGGACAAGACAGGACAGTCGGTTGACTTGAGTGCCTTAGGAATTTCTGTAGGTCACGGCTCCCCTTGGTTCGCAGCGTGTCCTCCTCACCCTCCTGGCAGAAGCACTGCAGTGAGCTATTGGGAGAGATCAGAACCGCCGCTCTTTCCTTTGGGACCCGCCTGGGGGGACTTGAAGACAGCTCAGTTGAGGCAGCTGGGAAGGGCTGGTGAGGGGGTGATGACTAAGGGACCCCTTTTTCGAACTGGTGCAGCAGTCCAGGAAAGTTGGCAGGCTTCGCTTGCACAGTCACAAAGTTCTGGGCTTTCATTCTGCCTAGAAATCCTTCAAAAAGACGCCAGGACATGGAAACCTTGACCAGTGACCTCCCTCTTCCATTCTCCTATTGTATAGTTAATGCCAGAAGCAAGAGACCATGTTCTTGGGGTAACTAGACACCCTGAGCAGGAGTTTGGTTTTAAGGTGGTCCAGGGGTTCGGTAGTCCACGCTGTCACAGAACCCTCAGGACTCCACCTCCCTGCTCCCCTTACCCCACTCAGGGGGGCCACAGAGAGGGGCAGGGCGTTGGACCTCCCGTCCACGAAAACAGGACTCGCCCTGGCGAGACTCCGTGAACTTTAAGGGTCAGCCAACACGTGTCTGCGGTGACGCGGGTCCACGCAGTTTCTGGAAACCAGACGATCTCAACTCCTCCCTTGCTCGGTCCCCTGGTGCAGAACTGCAGACGGCCTCAGCCCCTCCTCCGCCCTGCCCTCCGGCCGGCTGAGCGAGGCCTCCTTTCACACCTGATTCCAGCTCAGGTCCCACCTGTAGGTGGAGAAGATGACGTCGAGGACCCCCGCTAAGGTTGGGCCCTTGGGGGCAAGGCCCAGAAAGGGCATGAGGGAGGGTGGGCTGCGATTCCGGACCCACTTACTGACGTCCCGGAACAAGTGCGCGGTGTATGCGGGGCGGTGGCGGTGGTGGTGGTGGTGGTGGGGGAGCTGGGGGAGGTGGAGTCGACCGGCAGGGGCGGTGCTGCTGGGACCGGAGCCCGGCCTCTCACCCCCACTCGCTTGGTGCCTTAGTCTGGGCGGTGATAAAAAAAGCTCCCGCTGGCTGCTGAGCAGCAGTGTCCAGCGGGGAGCGCGAGGGCGAGGGCGTAGGGGCAGGTGGGGCGCCGCCTCCCCAAGGGCGGGGCAGAGAGCTGGGGCTGCGGACTCCGCGCTCCCGGCGCTGGGCGCACTCAACGCCGCACGTCTGGTCGAGCGGGTGGCGGCGCGGCGGGACCACCCGGCGACGCCGCCGCCGCCTCCGCCTCCGCCTCCGCTGTCGCCTCTGTGGAGCACTCCGGAGTCCGCGGCCGAGAGAGGTCGGTGAGTTTCGGTTTGTTTCTCTGCTCTGTCCCTCCGGACTCGGGGGAGGCAAGAGGGGCACGCTGGGATGTGAGCGCCCGCTCGGCGGCCGCACCGGAGCAGGGAGGCAGGAAGGCAGGAAGGCAGGAAGGGGGGAGCCGCCTCCTGGTGCGTTGAGGATACCTTTTGGCGGGTGGATGGGGGTGGTAGGGCCGAAGGGATTTGGGGAGGGGAGCGCAGGGCGTGGGACGGAGGGAAGCCCCGGGGCGTGGGGAGGTGGTCCCTAGAGTTGCGTTTGTCCCTGGAGCTGGTGGAGTTGGGCTTGGTTTATGGTGGGGAACGGCGCTGTTGGAGGCTCTGTTGAGTCCTCAGATGCCCCCTGGAGCTCCGGTCCGGAGGAGCTGTCTCGCCCGCGCCGCGCGTGCCCCTAGGGGTGCACGTGTATGCACGCGCGCGCCCCAGCTGCGCCCCCACTCCGCACACACTGGAGGTCCTTTCGAAAGCCCCTTGTTGAGCGCCTTCCCCACCCGCACAAGTTGCCCTCGCGCGCCCCTCTGTGGCCCCGCGGCCCCTCCCGGGAGGATAGGACGCAGTGGTGGGCCAGATGTTGGTGTCTTTTGTGCGAACCCACGCGCCTGGGGCTCTTCCTCCTGGAAGGGCAGCGGCAGGACAAAGCAGGCTGGACTGGTGGGACACCTAGGGTGGTGGGGGGGGAGGGGGGAGCGTGGCATGGTTTTGGGAAGAGTAGAGATCGGCAGAACAGAGTGACAGTGACTTGATGAGGTGACAGATGGCGTGAAGGAAAGAAGGATGCTCACGACTGCAGCGCTGGTCTGTCTGGCCCGGTGACGGGGCGCCCCGCATTCCCACCTAACCAGGCGCACCTGGTATATTTTGCCAGCGTGTATTTGCCCTAAGATGTTATTCTCCGCTTTCTCGTATTTCTTTCGAATTTCTCTTTTGAGGGGTTACAGTTGCTAGCAAAAGCGCTACCACCAGGGGAGAACTTGGGGGCGGGGGAGACTGCAGAGGAGTGGCGGGAGGTGGTTCTGTCTCGGGTTGAGACAATTAGGAAGCGGTCCGCCCCCTCCGCGGCCGCCAGCCCTCCTCACCTCCGCCGCCTCCCCCCACCCGCCCAGGGCACCCGCTCCCCCCGCGGGCGGGAGGATGCTCGGATGCCTCTCCCTGCTGCGCGTATCTAACCCTTGCTGCCTGTGTTTCACTGCAGGCTGAACCCAGCGCGGACTCAACTGTGCTTCCTGCTCGGCAGCCTCCAGCCTCCCAAACGCTTAGTGTTTCCACTTGATGTCATCGCGCAGAAGCGGGTGAAAGGGACTCGATGAGAGATTCAGGTAACCCCCGATAATCTGGGTAGCCGCCTGGGTGTCCGTGGGTCATCTGGGGTGTCTGGCCGGGCGTTGGGGCGGGTTCTGCATCACACCATTCCGTTGCTGACTGTGGGGAGGAGGGGGCTGCTGGAAAGAAATTGCCAAGGACTTGAAACCTTCCTTTTGAGGAAGGCATTGAGGGCGGGCAGGGTGCGTTGGGGTTGTGTAAATTCCACCTGCTTCCCTTTGATGAGAATAGGCAGTTGTGTCTGAACGTGGGATTTGGATATATACCTGCTTTCTTATGTGTAGTGATGTATTGGGCTTCAGCGGGATAGTGTTTGTTGAAAAGGTATCAGCATGGCTGCTTGAAAATTTGACCAGTGCTCGACTGGGGCACAGGTCAAATATAGTGACTTTCCTATGAAATAATGTCTCCTCCACCCCTTCCTTGTGATGGTGTTTGCAGTATCAGTGTGTCAGCTGCAAGTCAGTGGGAGGTGGAAGGGAGGGCTGCTGGGGGTGGGCGCACAGAAAGAACAGAAAAAGAGCTTTAGTTAAGTTTCCATTTATAAAAGCTGTGAACCATTAGGCTCTCAGTCTGCATTTTATCTTTAGGTTGTTGGTTCTTTTCCAAAAACTCTGGCCTGTTCTTTTCTTTCCAAGGATAGTTCTGTTTTGATGTCCACCTAACCAGATCTGGGGTTCTCTTGGTAGAGCTCAATGAAAGCATAACCTTCAGATACAGGAGGACACCTTGGCATTGGCATTGTGTCTTAGAGGGCAGAGTCCTGGTGCCCTGCACGAGCGGCAGAGGATGAAGACAGTTACGGGGACGGGCCGGGGTTTGTTGTGGGAGGAAGGAGGGGGGCCAAAGGCTTGCTCTGCAGCTGGAGGCCCTAAACACTCAGTGGCAGATTCTTTCTCCGCCAGCAAGCCCCTTAGAAAGAGAAAACAAAATAACTGGAAAGGTTTGTCATTCGCCTCCAGGGTAGTTCCGTTTTGAAAGGTGACTTTAAGAAATATAAATGACATGGGCATTTATCCCTCTCCTCCAAGCCTGCAGGGAGCCTGGGGAGAAGGAGGTGAGTTATCTGGTCCCAGCTGAAAACAAAGGCTGAGGCTTTAGGAAGCTCAGATTTGTGATGGTGTTAGGATGGAGGTATTTTGACAAGTAATTTTTATGTCAGCAATAATGCAGGGTGTGTACTGTATTCCTGCAAGGAGAAGAACCACGTGATGGGGTGAGAGGGAGTGTAACAATGCAATAGAAACAAAGGGTGTGGTGGGTTTTTTTTTTTTAAGATAGAAAAAAAATAAATACCTCATACACACAATTCCACTTGGGAAAACAGCTGCCTGTACATGTAAATGCGTGTCCAGAACAAAGATAGCCATGGTGCAGTGTTTGGGTGCACTGTGGTTTTGAATTGTGTACTGTAATAAATCACAATCCAGTGTTGTATTGGTGTTCAGGGTTGTCTTGTTGTTGCTATTTAAGGTGAAGGCTCCCCCACCCCCAGGTGTCTGCAGAGGTGTATTTAGCTCTAGGTTAGGGCAGCCCTAGAGGTTGCCCCTAGAGGTTGTTAGAACAACCTTTTCCCTCCAGAGCTCTTTCTACAGCGTTCATTTAATCCATTCCAGATGTTTATCAAGCACTTGATAGATAATGGGCTTTGTGATCAGGGCTAAGGGGTGGAGGTGAGGTGTGGAGACTTAAAAATGAACCACCTTCGGGAACTTACGGGGCAATGGAGAAATGATGACCTGATTCTAATTAAGGTCACTGGAAGCTAGAGAGAGTAACAGTGGTGTTGGACGTGTGAGGAGGAAGCATGTGGTCATTCAGCCTTTGCTCGAATGCTTCTTTCACTGGGGACCGCACTACTTTGTAAATGACTGGACCTGTTGTTAGAAGGCAACCTTTTCTTCCTGGCCTTTAAACTCTTCAGCCGAATTTCACGAACGGTTAGATTTCACTGTTGTTGAGAGGTCAGTCTGTTTTCAGTCCTTATCCTTCAGAGTTGTCTAACCTGTTGGCATCCTCTGCATTTCAAGGTTTTTGAGGGAGGGGTTTTGGTAAAGATTTTATTTATTTATATTTAGAGAAAAGGGGAGAGAGGGAAAAGAGGGAGACATCTACGTGAGAAACATCAGTCAGTTGCCCTTGTACGTGCCCCAACCGGGGACCAGCCTGCAACCCAGGCGTGTGCCCTGACCAGGAATCCAACTGGTGACCTTTTCACTTTTCAAGACAACACCCAACCCACTGAGCCACACTGGTCAGGACATACCTTTCAAGGTTTTATTCAGTCCCTACTGCCCTTGAATTTTGAAACAAATTCTGCTTTTCTGTATAATGCGATTTAGAAAACAAATGAGGGAGGGGGACTTTGCAGGTGTCTCTCTCTTTTTTAAACAGTGATGTATCAGCAAAATAGGTCATTTTGCAGTGACAAAGCACCTCCAAATCTCAGTGGCTGAGTGCAGTTGCTTGTCCATGTCATGTGTCCAGCGAGGTCGGCAGGTGAGCCCCGCTCATCAAGGTCACTCAAAGACCCAGACTGATGGACGTGAGATCCGGAGAGTGCTTGCAGGTCACTGCAGCTCTGGAAAGGAACTTGGGGGGGGGTCTTGTTTTAGCCTTGACACGATCTGACCTAGAAGTGACTTACATTCAGCAAGGACTAGTCCTGTGACCCCATGTAGCCGCAGGCCAGTATTTCTTGTACTGAAAAGGGAGAACAGGGTGGAGGTGGGCACAGACTTCCCCAGGTGAAGGGGCCCTGACAGGGTTTTAAAGTGGGTCCCTTGCTCAGTGCCCTGCGGGTATTGGGCACCACACAACTATCAACTGAGTGAAGGAATGACACATGTTAAAGAATCTGGTTCCATCCCACCCTAAACTGACTGTACGCTGGCAACAAAATAAAAGATTATAATATTCTCAAGTAGTTGTTTATTTGGAAGTGCTAGGGCCAGGAGACATCTCCGAGGCTGCTCTCAGGGGGTTCTGTGCTTTGCATTGTGTAACAGAGAGGTGTTACCTCCTGACTCTCTCTCCCCCCACACCTACCTCTCATCGAAGACTTCCTGAGTGTGTTTGGCACAGCTCAGGGTAGAAAAGTGGCAGAGGGCCGAGCATCACCCAGGATATGGCCTTGCCCAGCAAAGACTGCAGGGCAACAGGTAGGACCTAGAACAGGCAGGGATGCTTGTCAGGTAGCCTTGGGTCTCCCTCTGGTTACTTCGATGTTTACAAAGAGTCATTTGGGTCACAGGGCTAGGAGGACATCCAGAGAGTTTGGGGGTGTGCGTACTTCCCTCGGCAGCCATGGTGACTACAAGGTCAGTTCGAAGGCCTCCCTTCCCACGCTCTCCCTGCAAACTGTTCCGTGCTGTGAAATGGCATCGCGAAGAGCTGTGGCTCAAGCAGGTAATGGCTTGTAGAGAGATTTTGCTGTGGGAAGTGCTGGTCACTCAAACATCTTGGCTCGTGTTGTGATAAATACACGCGTAGGTAAGAATTTTTAGGATTTTGATGAGTACTTCTAGCATGAACATGGAATTTAACAGAATAGCATCGCTTCTGACTCAGTACCCACCTCACCGAAGTCGTCTTTATAATGACAGTTCTCTGTAGACAGGTGACATGGTGAGCTGACTGTTAGTGGCTGAGACACAGTGACTGGAGGACATGAGTGTCGGCCCGAGAACGCAGCAGCTGCCCTCTGGTCCAGCGTCCCCTCAGTGAATGACAAAAGTCTGTACCCACAAAGGTTCTGAAGGGGGAGCTGAGCAGCCCGGAAACCAGCAGGGGACCCAGATAGCCTTGACCCTGAGAGCCAGTGCCAGGTTGGGCTGCCAGCCAGGCACGGGCTGAGAAGGAAAATTAAGCCCCTGGGGACTTGCCTTGAAATATATGTGGGAAGCTCCAAAATTCATTTCTCTGTTTTGGTTGACCACTTGACTCCCCACCCCTTTAACTGCATAACGAAAGCAGGCTGTTCAGGTAGGTGCACTGGTGGAGGGACTGTGGTTCTTGGAACGGCAGACGCAAGGTCACAGGTCACTGAGGCTGAAGCCAAAGGCAGAGGAAGGGAGGAGGCGTTGGTTTTCCTGCTCCTTCCCTCCTGGCTCTGGGAGCCGCGCTGTGTGCTCTGGGAGTCAGCTGCCACGATCGAAATCACAGTTTGGAGAAAATAAGCATTTGTTTGCTCTTCAAGGGTTCTCTACTTCTGGTTGACTTGCTGTCATCGTAAGAGTTAAAGAGGAAGGCCTCAAGTGGTGGACACGAGGCTCGCATTTCCTTTGGGTGGGTCTCTGCCTGCCGTTTCCTGGCCTAGACCCTGTCTGGCTGCTGAGGCTGGGAGGACCTCCCTGGCCGAGCTGTGGGTGCTGCTTGTGCCCCCCTAGGGGTGGAGCGGATGCCTGGGAAAAGAGGCCTCATTCGCCACTTGATTTGTTAATTCCTGCATGGATTAAACTCCTTGCCAACATTCGAGCGTGATAAAACTTATTCTCACATGCAGGGCTTCCTGGGGTATCAGACCTCCATGCACTACTGGGACGGAAATGCAGGTGTGCCCAGGTGGCGTACAGTCTTGGAAGTGGAATTGCAGGTGCCGTGTCCTGTGTTTCTCTTTGCTCTTGCTGCTCCTCTCCACCCCCGTCCTCCTCCTACCTACCAAGCAAATGTAACTTTTCTGGCTGAGTTCCCATTCATCAATCCAGATAATCACACTCCATGTACTCCTCCCTGAGCCTCTGTAAGAATTGATGAGGTTCTGGTAAAAAGCGTCTACAGGTACTATGGAAACGGGGAGCATTTTTATTAATATTGGTATTCTGTTTATGAGCAGGCTAACGCCCCCTCCCAAGGGACAGGCCCCACCTTTCTCTTCATGTTCATGCTAGCTGAGCACCTTGTTTCTCTCTGGACTGTAGGTTCTCTCACCCCCCTGGTTTTCTCACCACCAATTCACATGACAAAATGCCCTCACCCTCGGGATGGTAGGTTGTTT